AGGGGCCACTTCATCCATCAAGATTTCACATGGAACAGTATAGATTTGAGCAGATCAAGAGATATCTCCACATATTCAACTCTTGCAGATCAGAATCCTCCTTCATTCAGAAGCTAGAGCCTCTATACTTCAACTTTCATACAGCATGTCAGAGATACTACACCCCCGGTTCCAATCTCTCCATTGATGAGATGATGATTCAATTCTTCAGCCGATCAAAATACACAGTCAAGATGCCTCAGAAACCAATCAAGCAGGGATATAAGATCTTTGAACTAGAAGAACAGAGCTATCTTTGAACCTTTTCCATGTCTCTCCGCATAAGTATAATGTTCTGAACTCCAGAATTAACCAAGACTGAATCTCTTGTGATGAAATTGATTGAACAGCTGCCAGTATTCTTGCAGAGCTCTGAGCAGCACTCTGAGCAGCACTCTGAGTTGAATACCACTAAAAAGGTTGCTGGCTACTCGATTTATATGAACAACTACTTCACCTCTGTTGCTCTATTCCACTATTTTTGAAAGAAAGGAATTGGAGCTTGTGAAACCACCCATTCTGCCAATCCACCACCTCTTTTACAAGAACTAAAAAACTCTGAATTATCTGCTCATATTCCCTTCAATACTCTGTATATTATCTTTCAAAATGAAGGTCTCTGTCTTGTATGGAAAGATAATAATGTGGTTTTACTACTGTCTACAGTTCATAAGTCAGACAGCTTCATTGAATGTATTCAAAAATGTTCTGAGATCAATTCCATCAACAGCCTGCAGACTCGATATCTATTTGATGATAAATTTGAACAAGCTATGGAGATTCCTACCATTATTGATGACTATAATCATTATATGAATGGGATTGATCTAGCAAATCAGTATAGAGCTTTCTATGAGACTCATATACCAACCAATCGCACGTGATTGGCAATTCTATACTGGATTATTGACCATGCTATTGTCAATGCTTATATCCTTCATAGATTGGCTACTACTGGCACTACTGCGGACACTGGCACTGGCATTGCTCTATCTCATGCTCAATTCCGTCAACAACTTTATCTTCATCTCTTTGAATTCTCAAGTTCTCTACCCTTAACTCGATCAAATCCAGATCTTAATCACCATTGAATTCCTCTGTCAGAACCTCAAGCTTGTGCCTGGTGTCAGTATAAAAGAAAGAGAACAGAGCAGAATAAGAGTAGAGCTCCAAGATCAAGATATGATTGTGCTGCATGTAATAATACTCCTCTCTGTCTGAAAAGCCGGTGTTGGCAGGAGTTCCATTCTAATAATTAATTAGGGTTAGGTCAGATAGATTACATAAATTACACTAAAACACATCAATACAGCTGATCTCTCATATAATCCAGTAGTTTTCGTGTATTTAATACACTAAGGTACGCGCTAAAAAACCGCGCTAATTGTGCCTCGCCCCCAGAGTTGTTTCTTCTGAATTATGATACGCCCATGTTACCGTACAACCAAAATACACAAAATACGCTGTCACATACAATACAATTGGCGCTAATCCGTAATAGGAAGTCCAGGGCCTGTCCGACCAACTTCTCATCCTCACGAGCTTCCAACACCAAGGAAATCGAAGAAATAATCAAAAAACCGACATGCGGCTAGCTTAGCTTTGTGGGCGGTTTACGGAGGGGGATTGGCCGTATGGCAGTAGCCCTTTCACTTTCTTGAGTCCCCATAACACGCTGGCTGGCGTGATCACTCGTCTCGGTGCCCGGAGCTTATGCCATGAGGGCCTGGCTACGAGCAAGCAAGCGAACATGAAACACTTTCTACCTCGCCTGCCTGAAGAGCTGGCCATAACTCTCTCACGCCAATGGCCTTGCAGGGAACTTCAAATCCGACAGCTTGCGTGCTTGTTAAATGTTTGCCTCCTCTCCCAAGAAATCATACCGAGTCCTGGACTGCGCGCAACTAACTAACTAGTACTGTCCGAACATCTCATTAGCCCGCTCTCCCATCTCCGCCCGCCATAATAGTCCATGGGCCTCAGGGCTCGGGGAAATCAAGAATCCTAACCGTGTTGCTAGCCGCGCTTAACGAACCTACCGCGGTAGATCCACGAGGTCGGAGGGACGAAGGATTTGAAGGGCCGAAACAAAACACAATACCATCACTACCTTACGCGGTCGTGAAATGCGCGGAATGTATTACAGTGCGACATCTACTGGGCAAGATTGTGGCGGCGGCTGTATCGGCTGCCTGTGCTTCAGCTTCAGCTTCTTTCCCGGATGAGGATGCCCGTGCCAAAACCAGGTGTGACCATATCAGTTCGCTTCCCGGTGTGCTCACGGATATTTTGGATAGTGCTGGCTGTGAAAAATTCGTCCTGGTTATGGATGGTATCGATGCCTTGAAGGAAGGGGGCCAGATGCTTTTGGCTGCTCTGGGGAGATTGGGCGAATTGGTATATTGGATTACTCCCCGTTTTGCTGTTCATAAAATGATGTCTCTCTCACATCCTCTCCTAGGTCCCATCGATATGTATGGTATTCGTCATGCGATCTTCCCCACGACCGCTTTTGCTGCAAGTCGCTGGAGTCCCCCATGTTCATTTCCCTCCGTATTCGCGGGACGAAGCAATTTCGATACTTGTCGCTTCCCCGCCGCCTGAATTGCCAGGATTACCCTTGGAACTTGCCCTGAAGACATATCCACCTTTCACATCAACTGTCTATGACTCTCTCATTGGACCAACCGCCAGCACTATCCCTGTTTTCCGCTCTGCGTGCGAGAAACTCTGGCCGCGGTTTGTATCTCCAATAATCAACAACGAAAAACCTCCGGGTTTGAACCCCCGCGCTCAGTGGGACTTTTCCCGACTCCTTGTTAGAAATCGGGCTTTATTCCAGCATCAGGGTGAAGAGGTGTTGGTACATCACCTCATTACTGATTCAACGGCCGCATCAGAAACTAGAACGATAACTTCAGCTCCACCTCAGCCCCTCGCAGGGTCAAGATCGTTGTCGCCATTCTCATCACTCCCTTATCTCCCAACCCTAATCCTCACCGCTGCCTTTCTGGCAGCCCACGTTCCACCCCGCCTTGACACAATCTTCTTCTCAAAGTTCTCCTCATCCTCTCTTTCCGCCCGAAACAAGCGCGCCCACCACCGCCGACGCCTGAAAGTTCTCTCCCAGGCCCAAACTCACGAACAGGACCTAGATACTCCAGAAAGCGCAACCGCGCCGTCAAAAGCACCCAGCACGACCAAAAGACGTAAATCCAAACACACAAAAATCACAAAATCGGCTCTGTCCTCGGCGCTGGCATCCTCTTCCTCCGCCGGCAATGCCGGCGCAGGTTTCATAACCCCCCGCCCGTTTCCCCTCGAACGCCTCCTCGCCATCTACCACGCCATCGACCCAAACCCGCCCACCGCGCTAACCACAAATAATTCCATTGCCGATACAATATATTCAGAGCTAGCCACCCTGCAGCGACTACGTCTGCTTGTCCCCGCCTCTTCGGCTGCGGCTGCAGACGGTGCGGAGAAGTGGTGTCTCAACGCGGGCGTGGCAGTTAGCTCCAGCTCTACCGAGCCGAGCGAGTGGATTGTGGAGATGGCCAGGGGAATTGGGGTAGAGGTTGGCGAGTACTTGGCCGGGGGGCTAGATTGAATACGAATCGGGCGGAAAATCCGTAGGAGTGGAGGGCGGAGAGCAATATGGAATTATGACTTTCTGGCTCGGCTGCTGGGGTTGGGATGCTTCTTTTTTCTCTTCCCGGGTTTTTTTTTTTTTTTTTTTTTTTTTTCCTCGTTACTGGATGTGTACCCTACATCCTGATACATCTCACCAATAGACCTCCCTGGTTAGATGATCATGTGCACAAAATTTCCAACTCCCATTTTAAACCACCCGTCTATACATAAAAAAACAAAAAAAAAAAAAAAAAATCGAGCTGGCATAAACGGACATTACATACTCAATCCAAAAGGAGAACGGAGGTTCGTCCCAACCCTCAACCCTCAACCTCAACCCCAGGTCTGAGGACCCCAAGCTCCTCCGAGATAAGAACCCACAAAGCAAAACAGCCCGGGATGCAGCTATGATGTAGCACTGCACAGTCTGCATCTGCATCCTGGCCAGAATCGAAGAGGTAAGAAAAACCAAACAGATTCAAATGGATGTACTGTGTATACCCGAGCCGAAAAGAAAATGCAGCGGACACAGCGTAGAGGGCGGGATATTCTTGTCCCAAATCGAACACTGTTGTTCGCTGCAGTCGAGTGACGTTCTGAACCCCTCGTCCGAGTATCAAAACCAAACTTAGTTATGCGGTTCTGAAAGGATTGTGTTTTATGTTACAGTTATCAGTACATGTATATATACCGAGTCCGAGTGCAGAAAAGAGTAATTTAAGCTTGTGAGTGAGATGGTAGACGTTCTGCACTGCACGCACTGTGTGAACAGCCAACACAGCTCGAAAAAAAGAAAAAAAAAAAAAAATTCCCTCCGTAATGCTAGATCGGAGATGGATAATGGTATATATCATATTGGTGTCGTAGAGCAAGAGTTATCAAATTACCAGATTATCAAACACAAAACTCCATTGCCATGAAGGACACGAATAATATATGATATGTTCACCCTGGAACCCAAGGTACATACATAACTGACGGCAACATTCCACGAAAAATACCGTTGGTCCCGAACACACGCGAGCATATAGATTCGCGGCATGACAAAAGGAAAAGGAAAAGGAAAAGGAAAAAGGAAGGATGACGGAAAGAAAAATTTGGCAATTGCATGTAAAATCCAAAACCAGGCGCCGAATTGACTCCCACATATTCCCATTCCACCATTCCACTACATCCTGATCCTGAGGGGACTATAAGTTATTTGAAGGGAAGAGCGATGCTGGGGGTTATTGTTGTTGTTGTGGGAGGGGGGGAAAGGGAGCATGCCGGGAACTCTTTAACCATGCATTTACACGCATTTACCCATGTTATGTAAATGCACCCATGTATCACCCGCTGCCTCGTAGCGGCAACACCTCCGTAACCCGAGGTACAGCCCACCAATCATGCCAGCGCCCCTTCGAGCCGACGGGCGGGATGTCAACGGATAGATTTAGTTTCGGCCGTTCATTCTCATCCCCGTCAGGATTGCTAGCAGCGTCAGGCGCAGATGCAGAAATGGCCTTTTTCACCGTACCAATGGCGATGCTGGCCCCAATACACGCGCGCAGCGAATCCTTCATATCACTGGTCCAGTCATCCTGCAAGAGCCGGGGTCTGGGTTCGGCGTCTGGTTCTGGTTCTAGTTTGGCACTCTTGCCCTTCCCGTCCGTCTTGGCAGGTTGGCGCTTCCTTTCTTTCTCATCGGGGACCTCGTCGGGGACGTCACGGCCATCGCCATCTGCACTACCCGCCTGATTGCCCTCCACTTCCAAAGATGCGCCGGCCATCAAGCACCTCTCAACACCCCTCTTCGCCTCCGCAATGGCCCTCGACGCCCTCTCCAGCACGTCAGCGTCGCTAACCCCAACTAGCCCAGACTCTTGCTCGAAGGTGTCGAAGGGGACAAGTTCGGGCAGCGAGATGGTAAGGAAGGGTTTCATGCGCAGCTCGTAGCGGAGGTGGTCGGACGAGTAGGAAGGGCGCTGCCTTTGTGGATGTGTCTGTGTGGAAGGAGTTGAGGAGGCAATGTATGTTGATTGGAGTAATTGGTAGCGGGATAAAAGGACGTAGAGGGCGTGCAAAGCGATGGCGAAGGCGTCGATGGCTACGAGTTCGGTTGTGAGTCTGTGGAGGAGGGAGAGGGTTTTGTGGAAGGCCCGCTGGTGCTGTTCCGCAGCGGTAGTATTAGTATTGGTATTAGGCCTCTGTTGCGACTGTGTGCGTGATAGAGTTGGCGCCGTCCTCTTATTTGTAGCTTGTACACAAGAACGTATGCGATCGAGGTGGGAAAGGTGCGTTGAAGAGAGATGCGCGAGGTACCAGTACATCCCGGGCATTTCTTCGGGTGAGTATATCGATAGTTCAAAACCTAGTTGGAGGATGAGGCGCATCTGGCGGAGCTTCTCATGATATGCCCAACTGCTAAGTGGGTATGAATAAGTGGGTTCATTGCCGTGGAGGACGATGGGCGGCTCTAAGGTTAAAGTGCAGAGATGGACATCAAAATCTTCGGCCTGGACGGTATAGGTAAGCGAAGGCTGGCCGTTGGGGTTCAAGTGGGGCGAACGAATTAACATACCTCTGCTTGCAGCGCATCCCAATCGACAATGGCATGGCAGAGCGTGCGGCGAACTCGACATCGGTTCAAGCACGTGGTGCGATAGGTATCGACAAACGGCTACATATGGTGGTACCATTAGCAAACACAATACCAGAAGGACAAAATAACAAAGGTTTATTTCAAACGAAAATAACTTAAGATAATGTCGGTTTACCTGCGCAGCCTTTTTAACAAAATTATCCATGTGCTTCGCGATCTGAAACCGTGAATCTGACGGGGCTTCCACTTCCTCATTCTTGCGGTCCAACAACTGGTTATGCGGCAAAACAAGTTCGGCAAGGCTATCAAAGAAGAAATCTTTCACATCCACAGAGCCGAGGATTTCCACATCATTTACGATGAGCGATTGGACAAGAGATCGAATGTAGGCACATGGCTGCGGTTTGCGTGATTGAAACGCCCAAACAAATGTCTATTTTAGAGGAAGAAAGTGTGAAGATTAATGTGATTTGTTAGTCAAAATGCAGCGCAGATGACTTTGTCCCTGAAATAGCGGAAACGTAATGTTTTATTTTATTTTATTTTATTTTTTCCAAATGATAAGTAATTAATATAAAGGAGGCATACCTGTAAATTATACGGTCCCCGATACTCCAGAATCTGCTGCACATCCACCGCATCTTGACAAAACCGCGTCATATGCGCAATAGCATCAGCGGCACTCACATGGACCATCGGCCTGGGTGGAACGGTGCTCGCTAACCGGCGCTGGATCTTCCAACTAAACGCCTCCGGCACTGATTTGCCCAGGTGCATTGACTTCTCAATTCGTCCAAGGTGACGAAGAGCGGCGAGGAACGGCTGAATGGATCGTTGCTTGGCAGGCATGGTGTCCACATCCAGGCCAGAGAGTAACTCCCGGCGGAATAGCAGACGGTGAACGAGGGCTTCCCGGATAGGCTCGTCGACGGCACCACTTTGCTCCTGCTTTTGCCTGTCCAGCCATGACAGAGCATCGTCGAGAATAAGTTGGATAGGATCCGATCCCACATCGGCGAGTAAATTGCGACTGTAGAGCTGCGTGACGAAATCTTCTTCCTATTGTACCATGTTCCATTTTTGGATGAAAACGTCAACCACGAACAACCCCTTAAGGCCTGCCTACGGCCCTTCCCAGGCTCAGAAAACGAAGCCCCGTGTTCAAGCTCACCTCATGAAAATATTCCGAGCAAACTTTGGAGTTTATGCGGTCACACGCCTTGATGAGGGCCAGGCAATACGCCCTCAGCACGAGATCAACGAGCTCATTGCATTGCCCTTTCGAACCGTCCTCCTCGTCCCCTTCTTTTTCATCTTCTTTCTTATGCTCAGTCATACCCGACCGGTTAAACTTCGCCTCCTTCAATGACTTTGGCACCGGCCACAACATTCGATCGAGGTATATAGAAGTAAACAGCGTCTGAGAAAGGGGATGACCCGAATGCCAGGCAACCTAAAACATATTGTCCTACACATTAACACCCCAGCCCAAATTCCATACCCCACGCGTATTCATATCCGTATCAATATATATCCCAATTTGGATTCGTATCTCTAATCTGAATGCCCAAAATGCCCGGCAGGTATAAAACGCACCTCATGGCTCAACAACTGATCCATAATCCCCACCACTTCCGCTGGCGACATTCGCCGAGAGATATCGTAGTCATCATCCAGTGTTTCGCCGGGCGCTAGGTATCCGCTGTCCATTTTCTCGTCCATGATCTATGTATATGAAATACCCATAATTAGATAGGAAATACTGGCATAAATCGCATCGGTCACCCTAGGTGCGGAACGCGCGGGGCCCATCTACTCTAGAGAGAGGAGAGTAAGCTCCAATGGAGCATGTTTGTAGCAAAAGCATCATATAAATCGGTATACAAGTAAATTTGTAGGAAGTGGAAAGAAGACGCACTTCCAACGCTCCTACCGCCTCGAACAGCGTGAAGAACTCATCCTTGACGAGCTGGCCGGTATTCAGGACTATAAAGGAGTTACGATAGCAGAGGAGGGGGTAAGTGAGTTAGCCATTGAAGACGGAAAGGGGAGAAGAGGGCCAATGGAGACAGAGTGATATTGATTTACACACCAGAACTGGCCTTTGTGAAGGCGGCGGTTATGTCCTTGACGGACATTTCGTCGTCGCAGACGATGCGCGGGGAAGCAGAGGCGGTGGTGGGTAGGTGTGGCGTAAGAGTGAAGATGACAGAAACTTAAGCCATGGCCATGTATGTAGGCAAGGGGAAATTTGGTATCAATAGCAGACGACAGTATATGTGTTGTGTCTGGTATAGTTGATGTGGTTGCTTAATGGCTGGTGGTGAAGATGGTGGAGAGAAGTTGGAGGGGAACAGAATAGCCACCGAAAAAAAAAAAAATCCGACGAGCAGCGAGTAAATATATCATTGAAGGTATTCGACAACAGCCACTACTAACATGACAGGGAAAGCAGGTGGAATATGGGGTTCGACAATAATCAGTTGTTGATAAATTATGACTTCTTTTACAGCGCTGATCACCGTCCAAAGGAAGGGTTATCTAGCTGGAATCGCCGCACATCGAGATACAACAGCCTCCAATTGACAATCGCAATCGCCAGTCATCGAATTGGCAAAAAATGAGATATAAATCCATTGGCAGATCGATCAGGGTACTGTACATGTACAAAAAAGAGGAAGGATATATATTTGCATACATCAACCCCATACACAGCGGCAATTCTATCAACCACATCCCCATTACCACCCACTGTCAGATTCAGCTCCATATATACCACCCATCCACCCCGTACAGCACCAACGGAAGAAAATAACAACCATCTATTTGGACCCGGCAGTGGCAGCCTGGGTCTCCGCAGCCGACGACGCGGAAAGCTGATTTACTTCTCCTTGTTTCCCATTCTGCCATTCAACATCAAAGAATAATCATTAGCAGATCCGTAATCCTTGGGAGCCCTGCCTCGATGTTCAAACACCCTTAATCGCTCCCTTGTAGGTAAGACAACTCACCTGCCACTGCGAAAACTTCAAATCCATCTCCCCACGTCGCTCAGCCTGGGCGCGGGGCGCTTCCTTGAGAGATCGGCGGACAGCACGAGCGGAAACGGCGAGGTAGCGGTTGTATCTGTTTATATGGTAATTTTGTTGGATATATTGTCAGCATATCAATGGACATGTTGCAAATGGGGACAAGCATTGCGGTATAGAACGATGGTGCGGTGGGAGGAGAGACGATTGAACGTACGTGAGCCCGGCCGATTTCCACGAAAATGCCATGGTTTGCTGTGTGTGTACCGTTCTTCAGTAATACCAGGTAATACCAGAGAGAGAGCGAGAATTCCAGTGGAGGGAGGAAGCGTAGGCGAGGATTGAGATGTCTGCGCGGGTTGGATGGGATTGAATTGGATAGCGATGGAAAGGAAGAGATTGGTCCTATTTGGGTTAGCGTCGGCCTCCCGTGACAAGCCAACAATCGATGGATGCTCGAACAACAGAAAGCCAGCTCTGTACTTTGCTCTGTACTTTGCTCGACATGCCTTTTCTTTTGGCAAATTCACAGGCAGCTGTTCATGGGGCTAGTCCTGGGAACAGACACTTCTATCCTTTCGGAATTTCATCAGCCAGTGAAGTATCGACAACGACCAGTAGCTAATCACTTGAGATCTAAAACCTGAGAGCCCTTAAAGTTGACTCGACAGGCAGGATGGCCATTCGAGAACAGTGCTTGCAAGATCACCCTTACAGCTTCGGGGTATCAGTCGAGGTCCTAACCCGGGATGATCAATGCGACCCCATTGCTGTCGCCACCCCACTGTTTAAGTTACAGATCCATGATTAAGCAAGTAGGCGAGAAGACTGGACCAATTGCGGGCAGTGACCAGCCTAGTATTTGACAATATTGCCTGAAAAGGAGTTTAATATTTAATATGCCGATGCAAGCAGCGGAGCCGAATTGTATCCTTGACGGATCTCTTGAATCAAAGTGGGGAGCAAATATTTTCAGCAATCATTCAGATACTTATTCTCGAACTCACTCTCTCTCTCTGAATTGTAATCCTCTGTGGGGTATATTAGATATGCCCGAAGCACATACAAGCGTGACATACTGTTCACTGAGCTGGATATGGACAGAAAATTTATCGTGATAGGCAGTTGTTCTGAACCTCATGCGACAAGGGACGCTGATCTTTACCAGCAACCAAGGCGGAAGACGGGATAATGGTGCGTAAGCGAAGCTCTACTGCCTACATACCTCAATCGTCGAGTTATGCCTAAGTGTCTCAATCCAATTCAGATGGCAATTGGATTTCTGCCATAAATTGTCGATATTTCAAGTTGGTCCGGGACTATTGAGCTGCGGCAGCACTGGAAAACCAGAACACAGTAACCGTATCTTCCGAATGTCGGACGTTTTGTGCTGATTTCATTTGCAGCATTTAAATACTCTATAATGTTCCATATTGATTTTTAAAGTACATAGTAAGTGGCCGTATCAGTAGTTAAACCCGTTCAGTCAAGTACCAGGAAAATTTCCACCATTTCACACTCCCTCCACCCCCCCTTTTCGCGAATATAATATATATTACTGATTTTGGCGTTTTACCAAGCATTACTCGAGGGCTCTGTAGCTAGATCTGATGGATGTCCCCGAGCACGACCAACGGCAGATCAATGGAGCCACATGCCTTGGCAAGCGTTGCTCATTCCCATTAAATACAGGAGCCAGCGCGCTACAGCAATGTCAGATTGCTTTGTGGCAGGAAGCATGTCGTCTTTCAATGCATCTATTACGGGCCCGTTTTGACACGCCCTCTTGATCCAGCGGCCTTTTCTTCAAAGCTGCAGCAGTGGGCTATAGCATCTTACCAAACGACAGGCCACCAAGTATGATATCCAGGCTGCTACTGGTTTTCTCTCTTCGATCAGGAGATTTCATGGCGCTGAATTGATTTATTCACATTCATATTCAATCCTTGCTCAGCCCATTAGAATTATATGGAGAATTCACCCAACCTCATGAGAAAGAATAGAACCATCTCAATATAATTGAACTCGGGAATACAAGGTGGGAAGGACTCCATGCTTTCTTAAAAATCCAATATATCTCTGCTTCATGTGAGCCACGCATCCAACGAGTGGATATTACCCATATGCAACACAGGTGATCTTAACCGCTGCGCCCAATACTCCGGAAATTTCAAAAGGTGTACAGTACAGTTATGAGCAAGGCTCATGGTCCAGTTTCTCCGTGAGTAGTTGCAGTAGTTGCTTTGCATCGATTGGATGTCGGTCACCATTTCTGGTTGTTCTGAAGAAGGTCAACATTGAGACACAAAGAATTCAATTGACATTCCTTGTTGTCTACAGTATTTTGCTGTATGTTGGCTCTGGCTGGTTGGTTTTCAGGACCTGCTTGACGCGCTCATGAACACTTTGCTAGGTGGGGAAGCGACCCCTTGGCTGAAGCTCTCGTTTTCATTCGAAACAATTCTTATCCTTGATTTTGGTAACAACTCTCTGGCAGGATTCAATGTCTGTGTAGGGTCAGATTTTGCTTTTCCCGCATATGTAGCTGAGGACTTGCGGCATTCTGTCAACTTTGGCTCTGATTGCGAGGGAGGCAGCTCACCAGACTGTGGTATAATATCATGTCAACAGCAAAAAGTCCTTGGATGCTGAAAGACCTCAGAATCTCTTGAAACCACATCCGTGTTTGGCTCACGGAGATTGCTAGTACAGAGCGTGCTAGGAGCGTCATATGGTACATGAAAAAGTAGTATGGCATGGCAGGGCCATTACGAGCATTTCAGCCCACGTTGAATTACGGCATGATATTTACCCCTGAACCAATGCCGAGCCTGTCAGCTGCATTAGCCATATATATAGTTGCCGCACAGACGCTGTTGCGGTCGTTCAGAAAGGCTGGTAACTGCTGCAAAAACAAGGCCCAGATAGTCAAGTAGAGCATGTGTATCTGTTATAGCCTTGGGGACGCAATGGCAATAATTTCTAGTAAAAAATGGTCAATTTAATATATTTTGACAACAAGAATCAGACCAGGGAGAGGGCAACAAAATACTATTTGTGTTCAGATACTCGTACAAACCAAGTGTTGTGGTCTGCAGAACCCCCGCCAGTTCGGAACTCCCCAGCTCGCAGCAATAGCGAGTGTGTGGAGACCCAGACCGGCAGAGAACAGTTGGCAGCAACAACAAAGGATTCGATCCAACAGTGACTCACTAGTACTGTATGCACTGTACTTCTTCCTTGTTCTTGGCCTCCGGTGTTCTCCATGTTTGGCGATGTTGTTGCGTGGAGCAAAACGGCGCACAGAGCCTCAGCAGATGGCCTGCAACTTCACCTCCACATCACACCTGGTAACCAAGCGCTGCGCTCGCCGCGCTACTCATCACACGAGCTCAGCGTATTATTCGCTAATACCCACCAGACCCGGACCCTCCTATATTGCTGTAATTGTTGTCACTTTATTTGATGGTATTGCACGCTGGCTCAGTGGGTGCTCAGTGGGTGCTCCAGGGGTGCTCCAGGGGTGCACGTTTTAGAGATAATAATTTTTTCTGAGGATGGCGGCAAGCAGAGCGCCTGGTTACCCGCCTCCTCTCGTTTTCTCTCTCTCTCTCTCTCTCTCTCATCGCCCCTTCCAACGTCAAACCCCTCACAAACCGTCTCATGCACTAGCAAGCAAGTCGGCCCGTTCCCCCACTAACTTCTTCCGCATGTATGCAGTATATAAACAGCAGACTCGTCCAGTCCGGAGGTCCGTCAGTTGCCCGCCCTCAACTTTTTTGCGCTAGGATAACTCTCTTCTTGCTCTCCTCCATAAGCCCATGAATGCCAGCCGGACAGGGAGCCTCCCACAATCCATGCTGCCGGGAAGGGAACAATATGCACGCGTGCTGCAAGCATGCATACAAACACTCAAAAAAAGAAAAATGGTCGCTGCCACGGACCCGCTGCGGGAAAGCCACTCCGAAACGAATTCGCCGAATGGTTTTTCACTCTGCAGCGCTCGAAGGGCGTAGTGTGTGTCCGGCAGTCTCTCCTCGGGGTTTGGGGCCTGTCTAACCTGACAGCACACGCTGGCTGAGTGGATCTGTTGGATGAAAGTTAATTGCTGGTCCTGAGGATCTGTGATATTTTCTTCCTCTTTATTTATTTGTTTTAAGCTGCTGGTAACTGCATATATACACTGAACAACCACAGCATGCGTTACTTCCAGATAATAACGTATTTTGAAATTTCTTGGCACTAACTCTCGACAAAAAAAGAAGAAAAAAAAAGGAACAGAGCAGAATAGAGCAGAACAGAATCCCCCTCATTGTCCCAAATATCAGTCAAGCCTAGCCCAGCAAAAGCTGTACTCTACCGGCCGGTCCCGCTGCTCTGGGTCAGCCCGGCACCATACCCACGGCGCTGGTTCCCCTGCCATGGTTCCAATCCACGGGGTCATCCATTCATGTCCATGGATATGCGCAGTATACATGCCCCTCGCAGACCATCATGTTCCATTCCATGCAAGGTCGTTACCACCCATGCAAGCTCCAAATGCTAGAAGACATAAGCGAGCAATCTCAGAGGGATGGAGTATGCCTGCAGCGGTGAGAGAAACGCTAAAACTAAAATAAAACCTGGCACAGAGCGAGAATGAGCAGAGCTTCCCGGGGGTGGAAGGGGAACCCCAGTTGCCCTCGTTTTGTGTCTTTCTCCTTGCCTTGTTTGCAGAGAGAAGAATGAGCCAAGGGCAGATTGCGATGGAATGCTGACTGGCTGGCTAGGGTATTATTCTGTGTGTTGGAATATGAAAAATGGAACTTAACCCGCAAGCGTAGTTCTGCCGCTTCCATGGCCCGGGAGCATGGGAGGGAAAGGATGTTTTGACGATTTTTCTTTTCTCTCTCTCTCTTTTTGATGCATGGCCCGAAAATTAGACGTGAAGGAATGGAGGGGTTGCATGGATGAGTTTGGAGGTAGTTTTGGGAACTTGACAAACTCCAGCTGCAACAGTAAAAGGAGGGCCACCACCCCATCGTCACTCTGCTCTCGCACTAACTTCGTCTCTCCTATTCTGGGTTTTCTCTGCTCTTCAAATTTTATGTGTATATGTGTGGGTGCCCTTTCTCTCTTGTCCCTCTCTATATCATGGTTATCCGTTCACCTCGATAGCCCCAGCATTACCTGTCATCAATATCTATACCAAGAATGCTCTCTACTGATATCAGCAAACATGTACTATATCTGCAGTGTCCATTGAACTCTACCATCGCAGAGAGGCGGCGGTTCCTGCGGCTGTAAACGAAAGTAAAAGTGAGAAGCAAAAACCGTATCATGTCGTATCAATGATCTGCATCATAGTTGAAGGAAGACCCTCCCCCATCCCCCAGATTAGAAACCCTCCACGCTGGCAATCGTGTCTGACCTTCTCTATTAACGCCTCCTATTCCAAAGCTGCCACCACGGCAGCCAAGCTCGCACGCCCTCCAAACACTCAATAACCAACTTGTCCATCAGCGTCTTTGGACCTTCATCCGTCTCTTCTCATCACCCCTTGCACCAGACACCTTCACTCTCCTCAGCTCTTCTTTCATACCAGCTCTGCTCGTTAAATATAAACCTGGTCCGTTTCTTAACAGGCCGCATCATAAAGAGGGATCCCATGACACGAAAGAGAAGGACATAAGTTCCTGACTCGTTAGTAAAGCGGACTCTTCGTCCCTCTCCTCAACGATCTCTCACTTATCCAAGAGCGGAATTGCAAAGGCGCAACTTGGAGTGGTCGGCCACCGTCAGCTGCTGTGCATATTCCGCTCTGCCTCTCCTCCATCATTTATCTGACTGACAACGAACCCCATCCATTCATCCATGGGGCGAGAAGGCACTTCATAAAGCAGGTTAAAGAAACCGGAGACGAAAGAAGGGACACGCAGGGATTGAAGATATCAAAATCACACCCGCATCGTATTCGTCAGAAGAAGCAACGAATAGGAATGCGTGTGTGTGTGTATGTCTCCCCCTTTGCGTTCGTTTCTTACTCAGACGTGGCTAAACCCGTCGCCAACAGGGGAAGAGAAATAGGAAAACGTGCACATTAACATAAACGGCTGTCATTCACTTCAGGGGGATTAGCAACAACATCAACAGCAGCAGCAGGAACAGCAGCAAACAATGACCACAACAATGGCCTCAGTCAGCGCAACGAAGCCCATTAAACCGCGCAAGGACAACAGCGCAATCCACAAAAACAACAGACAAAACATAAGAAAACCAAATCTAAACCGCCCAAAGAGGAGGAACATAGTACGATGGAATCGTGAGTGGTCGTCATTTCGCTCATGAACTTCACTCCACCCATCCCTGCGCCCCAGAGCCAACAACCTCCGCTTGCTCTCTTCTGCCAGCTCTACTAATAGGGATAGCTAACCTTTAAATCTAAAATTAATATAGAGACTCTAAACAACAGACTCCTCCTTTGTATCCAGAGCGCCTGCAACACCAAGAGCATCAAACTGCCATGGGAAACAATTGCAGAGCTGATGGGAGGTAGTATCTCAGATGGAGCAATTACACAGCATCTCACCAAGCTTCGTGCGAGGCTGGAAAAGGAAGGCGAACAGGTGCCGCCACCTTTGAAACGTGGGGGAGCAACCGTTGTTGGGAGCGCGAATAGTAACGATGGACCAAAAGGTTCTACGGCGACTAAGTCAGGCTGTGCCAATATGAGAATTGACGAATGGAGTGATGGTGATTGCGATGTTGATTCGGATGATTCAGATGATTCGGACGATGGTGGCGCGGTGGTTGCTGCGTGCTTGAGAAACACGTACAATCGCAGCAACGACAGCAACAGTAACATCGAGAAGGAAGACGACGCGAACGCAGGTGGTGAAATTGGCAAAGACAACAGCAGCGAAAGCAGTGGCGAATATGTTGCTGCAGGAGCCAGTTTCCTCCAATTCCCAAACGACGGTGCTGCGTCGTTGGTGCCGAGTTACAACCGCAACGATCACGACCACACCTATAAAAACCAGGTCCAGCCAAAAAGCAATGCTGGATCAAAAGCCAAGTATAAAGTTAGAGTTCAAAACCACACAAAAACTACTTCATTGAGTGGGCGTTCGCCGCAGCAGAAAGTTGTCAAGCTTCGTATACCGAAGGGCAGCACGGACAATTGTGGCAGTAATGGTGCTGTAGTGGGTGATGGTAACGGTCAACATGGCAATGGCAAGATCGATGCTCTTGGACGCCAGTTTCCGGGTCAAAATACTAGTCCCGCATCAAGGGAGACAATGTTGGGTAGCCCTGCAGGTACCGTTGATATGGACGTGAGGAATATCCAAACCATGATACAGGACACCGGGGCAGTTGGGCATCCGCACCAACAGCACTACCACCATCACCAGTCCCCGTATGGCTGGCCCGGATCCAACAGTAGCTCCCCGCATGTATCCACGGTGGAAATGTTCCGGGGGCGCGGTCACCATATCGATTATGCCAACCACAGGCACAACAGCCACATGGCCAGTATCGGGTTCCAGCAGGAAGGCAATTCTTTGAGCATGAGGCAGGACGCCAGTATAGGAATGGGGCACAGCGCCACTCCAAGATACCATGACAATATACGTATGTACCCGAATAGCGGCATGCTGCCGGCCCACTCACTGGCCCCACGCAATCGGCTCATTCCCATCCCGACTCCCACACAAGGAGGTTATTCAGCCGAAGAAATGTGGCATAATAGCCATAACAATAACCCACATGTGCATAGCAAAAACCCATATCACCTTGATATCACAAACAACAAAAGGCCACATCATTCCGCACAGGACCACGATCCATCCACGTACACATCCCCACCAACCATCCCATACCGATACAGAACTGATACCGAACCCAGAACTGTCGGGGAAAGTGAGATCGCAGATCTCTCGTTCGCATCTCCCGCCCTGGTAGAGCATACACAGATACCTGAGCAACAGCAGCAGCAAAAACAACGCGAACAGGCCCAGGAGACAGATGCAGCAGCACTAGCAGACCAGGCCGCCATAATGGATGGATTGAGCGACTTGTCTCAGATAAATAACTTTGACGTTGAATTCGCCCAGATGGGTGGGGGCCATGTTGAGGACCTGTTTGGCGCGTATGGGTACGGAATGGACGAAGCGTTGCTCTAAACAGGATCAAGAAACAGGGTAGCCAATGAATGAGGTTTCGGTAGGTACTGTGAATAAGCGCCTGCCTGAGGTTTAGATATGGCGTGGGCCAGGGCTCAGCTGCTCTCGAACAGAGGGATTCTCTCGACATGCGGCCGGAAGGAATCTTTTTCGTCTGAATGACGGGCATGGGAAAAATTTGGATTTCGTTCGTCCCATTTTGGGTATTTCGTAGCGTGAGGGTCGCTGGCTTGGTCATCCATATTTGTATTGTTTCTTTTTCTGTTTTTTATATAAGTTTTTGCAGTTGCCTCACACATTCCTTTATCATCTCATTTTTCTATCTCTCTTCAATTTGAGTCCCAGTCGTACAGAGAGAGGAGAAGAAATGGAGAAACGTACAGCCACGGGCTGGCTACATCTTCCACCCCGTTGCCTCTGATTGATCCCTTCCTGAGGAAAAGAATATGTGGACAACACACCCCCTTTTTTTTTTAACTAGATATGTTATTATTCCCCACTGTTTTTCAGCTTGTGATATGGAAATGCTGCTATTACCAAGAAGCAAGCCACGAGCCATGAGGTTAATGATCGTTTTTTTTTTTTTTTTTTTTTTTTTTTCAAAGACACATGAGAAGGACATCTGGTTGCATAACGCTATATGCCGCGCTTTCTCACGTCAAAGAGAAGAAGGCTGAACTTACATTCTTATCGGCTGACGCATAGTTTGAAACGAGGCACTGCTGCATATTGGTTATTATCTCCTTTTTTTTGACCTTTTCTTTTCTTTTCTCTTTTTTTCCTCATTTACTTTCCTTTTCCTTGCGGTTTGCAGCTCTTTTTGTCCTTTTCAAAACATTCCTGACGCAATTAATGACCAGTCACCGCTTTGTTTTAATTTCTCCAGAAAGGAACACGTGGAGTCTTCCATTCTGGATTTTTTTCCAGTTCATATATCAGACAATGCAGAGGTGTTGGCCGGATTGGAACTTCCACAGTGTGAATGGACGTATGCTGAAGCGGGTACTCACGGATCATGCAACAGGCCTAGCAGCCCAGCAGCCCAGCAGCCCAACGAACAGCCCAAAGCGATACGCATAGCCGTAGCCTAAGTTCCACACACCTTCAAATAATTGAGTCCGTGGATGCGAAAGCTTAGGATGACGACGAGTGGTTCCCGAAAATCAACCGCTCATCTGGAAATAGGATATATACACGTGACACGATTACTCATCTATTCATCACATGACATTTCTAGTGGCTTCTACGCCAAGAACCTGGAGAACCTTCGAAGAAAAAAAACAACCTCCAATTTTTTTATTAACCTCTTAATCTCTTCATCTCTTCGCTGCTTCACCTCTTCCGTTCTTTCTCTCCGTTCTCATTGCCTCGTGGGATTTCGCTTGGGTTTTGTAGCGCTGTTTCTCTCCCTCTCTCTCCCTCCCGCTATTCTATATAGCTTTAATATATTTTCAAAATAGCTTCATCATGCAGCGTGCTCTTTCGTCTACCTCCAGGGCTTCGGTCCTTTCCTCTGCCCCCACACGCGCGCCTGTGTCTCGATTTCGTTCCGCTGGTTTGAGCCTTCAGCAGCAGAGATTCGCCCATAAGGTATGCTATTTCTTGGTTTAATTGCAATTCGCCGCAGCAAATTGCAGTGGCTGTTGTTAGATCTCCCCTACGTGTATCCGTGCGAGTCGATGCCTAACAGACTGGCTGTACTAGGAACTCAAATTCGGCGTAGAAGGTCGTGCTGCACTCCTCAAGGGTATTGACACTCTTGCAAAGGCTGTTTCCACAACACTCGGTCCCAAGGGAAGAAATGTCTTGATTGAGTCTTCCTACGGTTCCCCCAAGATCACGAAGGGTAGGTTGTTTCCCGTTCCACCTACATCTGTTCTTATTTTTTTTCTCAATCACACTAACAATATGAATTGCAGACGGTGTCACTGTTGCGAAGGCAGTTACCCTTCAAGACAAGTTCGAGAATTTGGGTGCTCGTCTGCTACAGGACGTCGCGTCGAAGACTAACGAGGTCGCAGGCGACGGAACTACCACTGCAACTGTCCTTGCTCGGGCAATTTTCTCCGAAACTGTCAAGAATGTCGCGGCGGGATGCAACCCAATGGACCTACGGAGGGGCATCCAGGCTGCCGTTGAGGCTGTTGTTGAGTACCTCCAGGCGAACAAGAGGGATATCACCACAACGGAGGAAATTGCCCAGGTTGCTACTATTTCTGCCAATGGCGATACCCATGTTGGCAAGCTGATCTCCAACGCCATGGAGAAAGTCGGAAAGGAAGGTGTGATTACTGTCAAGGACGGGAAGACCATCGAGGATGAGCTGGAAGTCACTGAGGGCATGCGATTCGACCGCGGATACGTCTCGCCTTACTTCATCACCGATACTAAGGCACAGAAAGTTGAGTTCGAGAAGCCCCTGATTCTTCTTTCTGAGAAGAAAATCTCCGCCGTCCAGGACATCATCCCCGCCCTTGAAGCCTCCACCACTCTGCGACGACCCCTCGTCATCATCGCTGAAGACATTGAGGGTGAGGCTCTTGCTGTCTGCATCCTCAACAAGCTACGCGGCCAACTGCAGGTCGCCGCCGTCAAGGCTCCCGGCTTCGGCGACAACCGCAAGAGCATCCTCGGCGACATCGGCATTCTCACCAATGCTACCGTCTTCACCGACGAGCTCGATATGAAACTTGAGAAGGCGACTGCGGATATGCTCGGCTCCACTGGCTCCATCACCATCACTAAGGAAGACACCATAATCCTCAACGGCGATGGCAGCAAGGATTCCATCGCACAGCGCTGTGAACAGATCCGTGGCGTCATCGCCGACCCCACCACCTCCGACTACGAGAAGGAGAAACTCCAAGAACGCCTCGCCAAACTCTCCGGCGGTGTTGCTGTTATCAAAGTTGGCGGTGCCTCTGAGGTTGAAGTAGGCGAAAAGAAGGACCGTGTCGTTGACGCCCTCAATGCCACTCGCGCCGCTGTTGAGGAAGGTATCCTTCCAGGTGGTGGCACCGCTCTCCTGAAAGCCGCGGCTAACGGCCTCGCGTCCGTGAAGCCGACCAACTTCGACCAGCAGCTTGGTGTCAGCATCGTCAAGTCCGCCATCACTCGCCCCGCACGCACCATCGTGGAGAATGCGGGGTTGGAAGGGAGTGTCATTGTCGGCAAGCTGACCGATGAGCACGCCAGCGACTTCAATAGGGGCTTCGATAGCGCCAAGGGCGAGTATGTCGATATGATTGCTTCTGGTATTGTTGATCCGCTCAAAGTTGTTCGTACCGCGCTTGTGGATGCGAGCGGCGTCGCGTCGCTACTTGGTACCACTGAGGTGGCTATTGTTGAGGCGCCAGAGGAGAAGGGCCCTGCTGGACCTCCTGGTGGTATGGGCGGCATGGGCGGCATGGGTGGTGGCATGTTCTAAAACAGAAACTGTTTTTAGTGCGCTCATCCCAGGCTACTGCCTTGAGGTCATCCATCGATGACATGCTGACTTGACCAGTGTACAGAAAAGGAAGAAAAATAACTACAGCAGTCAGCTCTTCGGTGGCTATGCTTTTTTAGCGATTCATTGTATGATTATGTTTTATGTATGGCTTGCGTGTGTGTGTGTGTGTGTTTGTGTGTGTGTTGGTTGGGGCGGGAGGGGGAGTGGAGTCGCGGGGTGAAAATCTTTATCTCGCCTATCGATGTATCTCCTTGCGTTTATGCGTCTTGATGAGGTGTTTTCAGTTGGTTTGATTTTCTATTTTTCATTGTCGTTTTTCTCTCCTTCTCATGTAATTTTATGTGTGCCTGTCTTATACTACTTTTATTTGGTTTACTCCAGCTTTTATTAGTATCTTGTTTCCGCCTTTTTTTTGTCTATTTGGTCGTTTCCCCAATTTCTCCCCTCTGTCTCGTCTATCCTGTCTCCTCATCAAATCTTCATCTACTCAGCATCGGCACGCAAGAACCAAAATCCCCGAACCCTTCGCCCCCCACCTCTCTTCCTCTCCTCTCTCCATCCATCAAACATCAAAGACAGAGAGACAGACAGAGCGATACCTACATAGAGAAACCTCTCCACTCCTCCTGCTCCCACAGTCGCTTCTTTCTGTTTAGTACCCTTGGGATCTCGGATAGACAAATATTTGCTAAAAATGTGACTTCTGGATTGATTTTTACTTTTTTTGAGAATATCTCTGTTTCCTTCCCTCTTTTCCGTATTAGTTTTCCTCTGATCGCGGAAATATCACTATCCTGCTTACTTCGGTGAATTTCTATCCCCTTATCATTTATGTACTATCAATTTTATACCCAAGTCGACTCGTTGTGTGGCTTAGTCATTTTCACGTGATATTGCGCTTGTTTATGACGACAGATCAAGGGAGTGGTTTCCACGGCCGGACAACTCTGGGCCACACAACTCTGGGGAAGTACCTGGTTGTTGGATATATAAAAATAACAAACTGGCTATTTAACTAGGGAGAACGAAACCGGTGTGTAATCTCAATATCTGTCTGTCTGCCCTATGCATGCGTCTTCCATTCCAGGCCGCCGGGGTTTCCAACGTTCCTGATGGCTGCCTACCCACTGTATGCGGATGCGGTGGGTCGTGGTGGTAAGCTGCCTGTGTGTGGCAACAGCAGCCCGCCGCCGGTGCAACCCCACCAACGGCTCAGCCCCTCGTCACGCATCCTCCGACAAACAACAATCATTCCTCAGTGCGCTTCTGTTTCTCCCTTCCACTCCCAACAACGCCCGTCTCTCACATCTTCCACTCCCACTTCCCCACACCATCTTACCTTTCTACACAGGTACGTGCTGCGCTCCGCTGTAACATCTTCCAAACGACAACAGCTTGCAAAATCCTCCCCTCATTTCCCTACTCAGAGCCCTGCTGTGCCCCTGGCCATTGTCTTGTGATGGCATTATTTACCCAAACAGCCCACGGGCTTCCGTGACAGCAGCAGCAAATTTTGCTAAGGGGTTCCCCTCCGTCCTGCGGATCTATCCATTTATCTAGTGTTCACGCTCCCGGAACGAAACACACTGCTCCCCACCGCCTCCCCCGTTTTTTCCTTGAAATACGAACACAGAACTAAAGCGAACCCGTCACCTCTTGTCCGGTCCTCTACGTTCAGTGTGCAATCATGTCGGTAAGTGGAGAAGGAGGAGAGAGAAGCGAGTGATGACGATATCCCAGTTCGGCCCTTATGTACAGCATTTTGTGGATGATCTGGAGTCAGTTGCTGATCGGATGCGTGTATCTTTGCTGGCGCTAGGTCTCCGGGTATGTTAACCATGTTTCGTCTTCTTCTCGTACCTCACAAGCCTCCTCTTTTTTCCATGTTTCTCCTATCGTTCTCCCGGCCTACGTCCAGGAGTACCTTCAAGAGTGTCGCCATTCAAGATGCAAACATAAACTGGACTCTACACCGCCTCGTATTGAACAAATTTTGCCAAAAAAACAAAATCGCATGTGCTAACAGAAAGCCAAAAAATAAATTTCTCAACCAAAATGCAGAGTGCGAGTAAGCGCAGAATGCATGGAAGCAACCAACAACTTGCGATTCAAAGACTTGAAATATATCATCTTCAAGATCTCAGATGACAAGAAGGAGATCGTCGTTGAGGAGTCGTCGAAGGATACCGACTACGAAACTTTCCGCACCAAGCTGATCGAGGCCAAGGATAGCAATGGGAAGCCCGCGCCACGATATGCGCTGTACGATGGCGAGTTCGACCTTGGGAGTGAGGGTATTCGGTTAGTTTTATGTCCTTTCCCCCAAAGCAATCCGATTACACACACACACATTTATATGTATAAAATATATCTGATATGTCTCTGTCCAACCGCATAATAGAAAAAAAATCATCTTCATCTCTTGGGTCCCCAGCGAAACGCCAACCTTCGTGAGTAACCCGGCTCTCCACCAAAACTCCTTCCTTTTTCCATGCCAATTTTTTCCAGAAAGTGCTAACTGAGCCGCAAACCAGTCATCCATGATCTACGCCACGACCCGAGAAACGCTCAAGAACGCCTTGAACCCTCATGTCAGCATCCACGCCGACGACACGGATGAGCTCGAGTGGAAGACCCTGAAGGAAGCTAGCGTGAAGAAATAGAGCTTTTGATTTTGATTTTGATGTTGATGTTATTGTTTTCTTTCTTCTTAATGCTTCTAATTTTGTACTTGCTTGTTTTCTCTTCTTCACTTTTTACCCCCTTGTTTTTGATAGTGGGATGAAATATGGGGCAAAAGTGGACAGTGGCGGGATGATGCGGGAGGCAAAAAAAGCAAGAAAGAATGAAAAAGGAACAAAAAAAGGGAGAGACAAGAGTTAAATAGAACGAGGAAGTTATACCGCGATGTAAGCAGGACATATGAATGTGAGTATGTAGTCGAAGTGGGGAGGAGCAAAAGAGAAGTAAAGGAGGAGGGCCGCCGAATCGATGCCAGGCCACACCCAGCAGCGCAAGCGCATCCAACATAAAATCATTGTATTGTCCTCGTTTCGTGCCTTGATTTCTTTTTGGTTTCATCTATCTCTGATGAATTCGCCTGCATGCAGGGTCTGCCTAGGTGTTGTGCTGTCCTGTATGGAGGGTTCCTGGGGGGACGATTCCGCTTCCGCTTGTCCTAGATGGATCTGTAGCATTTTTCATGGCTTATGTGGTAGTTGCTCTCTTTCCTCCCTGTTATCTGTCGCATTGGCTTGTCTCTTTTCCCTCTACGCTCGCAATTTCTATCCAATTGTCTTGCCCAAGCGTAATTAATTGCAACTATCGGGCGTACACAGAGCTGGCTCCTTTGTATCTCGTATGCATCCGCGTCGTATGATTTCAGTTTCTGCTGACTCATCACTCGCCAGCCGCCGCTTACCTAACCCGCCCCCAAGGACACAACGTTTTCCATCTCCAACTTCCTCCAAACACGCTCTCGCTGGCTCCCATTCCGCCCCGTCGTTTATCTGTCCGTCTGTCTGCCAGCATTGGCCCTCCTCCCACGCCAATTCTCCCCTCTGTGTCCCTGCCATAAACCCCCTCATCCTCCTCCCTCGCTCCAACTATGTCCTTCCGCACAGCGTTGCCCAGAAGCCTGCCTTCTGCAACCCGATCAACGACCGCTCGCGCATACCGCCATCCCCTCCTTCCTCCTCCTCCTTCTTCCTCCGCAAGACAATAGGAGACGCCTATTCTGTCGTCGGTGGTACAGCTAT